CTTAAAACCCTAAAACCCTAAAACCCTAAAACCCTAAAACCCTAAAACCCTAAAACCCTAAAACCCTAAAACCCTAAAACCCTAAAACCCTAAAGCCCTAAGACCCTATATAAAACCCTAAAACCCTAAAAAACTAAAAACCCTAAAACCCTACAACCCTACAACCCTACAACCCTAGAACCCCACAACCCTAACACCCTAAAACCCCAAAACCCTGAAACCCTAAAACCCTGAAACCCTAGAATTCCGCGTGCTCATCAACAAGTCGCACATCGTCCTGATGACGGACTCGGCCCTCGCATGTGGCGGGCGCGGAGCGCACGGGGCCAGTGGAGAAGCATGCCGTCAATGATGCCTGGCGAAGCGGCCTTGCAATAACCCAGCAACCCTAAAACCCTAAACCCTAAACCCTAAGTCCTAAACCCTAAGTCCTAAACCCTAAACCCTAAACCCTAAACCCTAAACCCTAAACAGGGAACGCCTGATCACCTCCCGGCCCGCGCCGAAGCGGGTCGTGCTCAGTTCAGCGAGTACATCCGGGCGGGGCAGTGGCAGGGCCTGGTGCAACATCAGGGCAGGTGGCCGACATCCTGCGCTGCTGCGCAGGACTACATGGCCGCACGCAGGGAAGACGGCGCAGAGTTATCAGGCGCGGCGTCGCCGCTTCCATTGGCGGGCCCCCGCTAAGCCGCTAAGCTCTAGACCCTAAACCCCCCGGGAAGAGCCCCGGTCAGCACCCTGAGCTCGAATCCCTCGACTCCATCTCAGCCACCCTGTACGGGGTTTTGGGGTTTAGGGTTTAGGGTTTTGGGGCTGAGTGTTGAGGGTTTAGGGGTTGTGGGGGTGGGGTCAGAGCCCTTAAGCCCCGTACTTCAACCCTTAACTCTGTACAGGTGGTTGCTTCAAATCATGGTTTAGGGCCTAGAAAGTTGTATCATCCAGGAAGACACGTGCTTGTTGTGTCTGGCTGGGTCCCAGGGACTTCGGAAGGTAGTGCTTCAGGGTCGAAACCCCTAGGTTCCACATTGGGATGGAGGCTCTTGTCCGGCCCTTTAAGCCCTACAGGACCCACCAGCCATAGGAACTGGAAACTCCCTACTACTTTCTAAGGCTCGCTAAGCTTCCCTGAGGTTTTTCTAGGTACCTACCCCCATAACCCCCTTAAGCTCCCAAGCCCTAAGCCCATGAAACCCCAAACCCCTCATTCTGTCCAAGGTTTTGATGACGAAGGGCAAGTCGACACGTGGCTTGAGTTCGGTATGCATGAGGCCTGGGCCGAGGGTTTTAGGGTTCAGGGTTCCCACAGAGATCGGCGACAGGGATGCTTGTGGGTACACGCATGAAACCCCCCCCAGAACTCTGTACGCTGAAAGTGCTTAAGTCCGAAATAGTCCAGCCTTAGGGAGCCGAAACCCTAAGCCCCAAGCCCTAAGCCCAGAACCCGCCCTCCCACTGGGCATCCGAGCATCCTCGACCCCGGCCGAAGTTTCCAGAAAGGACCCCAAAGCCTTCGCCCGCAGACCCTCATGTCCAGACTTAGACTTAGGGCTTTGGGGGCTTCGGGTTCTCTGGCCTTGGGGGACCAGGGCAAGGGGCTTCGCGTGTGCGAGTGAGGGGTTTAGGGTTGAGGAGTTGGAGTTCGGGGGGCGGGGGGGGGGGGGGAGGGGCGAAGTTTGTGATGTGAGGCGTTTTGTGATATAGGTTTCGATTTGAACCTTAAACCTAAGCCCTAAACCTTAAACCCTACACCCCAAATCCTCTTCCCTAAACACTAAACCCTACACCCTTACTTCAGGTTTAGGGTTTAAGGTTTAGGGTTTAGGGTTTAGGCTTTAGGGAGTTGCGACAGGGATCCGAAGATGAGCTTAGGGATATTCCTGAATTGGGAGATATTGGGCTCTTCGGGTAAACCTTGTATAGGTTGGTGTTTCTGCTTTGTAGGGGTTCTTATTAGGGTATCTAGGGGCTATAGTATAAGGGTAACTGATAAAGAGGCCATCGGCCTTTCTAAGGTAAACCCCATTCCCCAGACCCTAAGCCCTAAGTCCCGAAAGCCTCAATACACCCTAAGTCCCTAAACCCAAAACTCTAAACTCTAAAAACCCTAAACCCTCAACCCTAAGTCCACAAACCCGCGGCAGCCAAAGCCTTTGCCAGGTGGAGATTCCCCTCTTCACATGGGCCTACCCAGTTATGGGCCTCATGGAGGACTCGCCGAACGCCACGAAGGATGCGCAGGCCCTGCTGGGTTTAGGGTTTAGGGTTTAGGGTTCAGGGTTTAGGGTTTAGGGTTTAGGGTTCAGGGTTCAGGGTTTAGGGTTTAGGGTTTGGGGGCCTTTGGGGTTTTGCAGCAGGGGTTGGGTGTTAGGGCTTGGGGTCGTGCAGCTCGCGCAGGCGGATGTGAAGAAGGCTCTCCAAGAAACTTGGCCGCAGTGTCGGGGTTCGGTGTGGGGGTTCGCGTGGGCCGCATGCTTCGCCCGGGCACTCTGGAATGATGAACCCCAATTACCCTACACCCTACACCCTAAACCCTAAACCGTAAACCCTAAACCCTAAACCCTGAACCCTGAACCCTAAATCCTAGACCCTAAACCCCTAAACCTTAAACCTTAAACCCGACATCAAAAACCCTTCGGCCCAAAACGCAACCTAAGCCATGCCGAAGTGCAGGGTTCAGGGCTCTCTGTGGGACGAGCTTGGGGCCCAAGGGGAATCTTCGAAAGCGAACTCAAATAGTAAAAACATACACAGGCCTAAGCCCTAAACTCTATAAGCCTTTAAACTCCAACACGCCTTCTCAAAACCACCACAACAACCATTCGAGTCCTCTACAAACATCCCACAGCCGCCGAAACTCCGATCCCCCGCATCCCTCCCACCCCCCCTCGAATGGCAGGGCCACGCTACTCAGAACCAGGGCTACCCCCAGTCTTCTGTGCCCCAGAATGAGGGGACAAGAACTCAATTCGCCTCGCATGAAAAAGCAGGCCTGACGCTAAAAGCCGACGCCCTAAGCCCTAAGCCCCCCACATCGTCCATTCGAAGGAGCCCTTCCCTCCCTCCTCAGAGCAAGTACTTGGCAGCTGGTGATACCCTTTACCCACTAACCCCCCAAAAAAGGGGTACCCTTATTATGGTGTGGCCACTGGGGTGCCAAGAATATCAGGTGCCGAAAAAGGGGTACCCCTATTATGGTATGGCTACTGCTATATCAGGTTCCAAAAAAGGGTACCCTGGTGGTATGGCTGTATGGCTACGGGAGTGCTAAATTGAGTATCAGAGGTGCTGGAAGAGACCCTCAAGAAGTCTAGCTTCCTCGTGGGTAGCGCGGTCACCCTCGCGGACATCTGCATAGCCCGCGCCCCGGGATTCCTTTTTGTTGGGGGGGAGGGAGGGGGGAGGGGTCGGGTTTGGGGTTTGGGGTTTGGGGTTTAGGGTTTAGGGTAAGTTCGGCGTGCCCTCTTTGGGGTCCTCTCCTATGGCTTGCGACGAGCGCTGGGGGGCTCGGGGGTATCCTTGGTTTTTTGCGAGATGCCCCTCTGGGGTTTCGCTTTTTTTGGCGGGCCTATGGACTGGTTGGCATCGGAAGGGGGTCCAGTGGGCAGCCCCTGCAAAGCTTGAGCTCTCATGTCAGGTCTGCGCCCTGAAGGAAGGGTTCAAGCACGTGCTGGATCCGGCCACGACGAAGGCGTTCCCCAAGACCTGCGAGTGGTCGGCAACCCAGGTTGTGGGTTCATCCTAAACTAACTGGCTCTTAGTGGGGAACTGGGAAATAGGGCCTCTTGGTAAAAGCGGGAAGTAAGGTACCTAGTTCCCTACTTTCTAAGGTCCAGTGCGCCCCTTGGTAACAAAGGGGGAAGTAAGGTACCTAGGTCCCTACTTCCCAAGGTCCAATGCATACACAATCCAAACTGAAATAGGAACCAGCGGTGCCAGGTGAGAATGGGGTAGGGTTGTTCTCCCAGTTGGACGATACGGCGCCGCAATATGTTGTACTCTGCGTACACGATGTTGAGCCCTCACATGTATTTGAGGTTGCACTTGAAGCTGTAGTTGCAGATGGTTCTGTGAAGTTCTTTGGTTGGTGCGGAAGCATGGTAAGATAGCCTATCAGTCAGCCCTACAGTCAGCCCTATAGAGTCTACTGCAAGGCCAAGCCCTACAACTCGCACGCCTCTAATCCCTACAAGCCCTACACAGTCTGTGCTCTACAGCGTGTAGGGGAGCTAATACTAAGTGCTGTATTGAAAAAATCTAAGCTCCACAAACCCTAAACTCCGAAACCTCCAAGCCCTAAGCCCTCAACCCCAACGGAGATGCATAACAAGATGCAACATCGACAGCACGTGCTCCGCGATCACTTCCCAACAGCAGGCTTGATGAGACCCTAAAGGGCTCAAACCCTGAGCCCTAACCAGCGAACAGCTTGGTGTAGGGCTTCTGAGGGTTTTTGGGGCCTGGTGTTGGGTTTATTTAATCACAAGCCGCTTGGGCTCAAGGTTCAGATTAAGGGTGGGGGGTGGGGTCTGGGCTTGGGCGCTTAGCGGTGGGTCTCTGGGTTGCTACTAAGGAATTGGCATAGCTTCCGTTCATTGGTATCATAATTTGACTTCCTTTGTTTTGGGGTGTAAGGTGTTTGTGTTCTGTTGCTGTATTGCGGGTTTAAAGGTTGCGGCTTAGTCCTCTGACAAAAATGTTCTTCTTGGCCCATGGTAATTTAATGCAAAGTTGTACTTTGTTTCGAACGGAGTTTGCCGAGAATGCTAGGCAGCCACAGAAGCCAAATCTTAAGATTGAGTTTTTGTGAGCAAGGGCGTAGTACCGGCGAGACGCAACATTTCGGAAGACACGGATCCTGGCAATTTTCAGCTTTGCCCTTACAAAGTGTTTTTTTGGGTTGCCCTTGAGGTCAGTAACGACACCGTACAAAACAAAGAAAAAACACTTGGGGACTCCGCGTGGTCAGCGAGAACAACGCCCTCTGCGGCCACTGGAGCCGCATGACCTGCGTGAGGGAGATCACCATTCTCCGAGTGCCGCCTCACAGGGAGAAGGGCGCCAGAAAGATTCGCGTCCGACGCAGCAGCACGTAAGAACTCCTGTGCGCTGTGCTCTGATTGCGAGGTTACAGTCCGAGGAAGTGGGAACCTGAGAGCGAGCTGTTTGCTTTTGCTGTGTTATACTCATCAATAACTTGGGTATTTTTCTTGCGTCAGGCCATGGCAGCTCTGTGAGCGCCGGTTACGTACTTGTCTGTAGCCTTCTCTTGCTTTACAGCCTTTGCGACACTGTCCACTCATCCCGCAAACCCGTCCTGTCCTCAGCCGTCGACCTCAGCCGCGCGCCTAGTCCATTCAAGTGCACGCCGTTAGTTTTGGTCGTGCACGGCCGAGTTTGCAGGTCATGGCGTGGATTCGGCGCCCCTAGCGCTCTTTTTAGTGACTCTAGCGCGCCGTCGCAGTCTAGCTGACCCACTTGTGAGAGAGGTCTGCTGTGGCGCGGCGCCGCCGCGTGCCAGAACTGCTGCCTGGCAAAAGGCGGGTGACCTCGCGCAGGCCTTCAAAAACCATTCTGGAACACTGAGACACGCGCGGTCAGGCGACGACGACGTCACGGTGGCCGAGCACATCGGCCACAATCCAAAGGCCAGCGTGAGCGTGCCTGTGAGGAATGGGCAAGACCAAGTCTCGACTAAGACGTCTCCCTGGCTCTCTTTCACAGAGAGCCTTGCAGTGGCCCTTCGGCAAAGCCAAGCCCGGGTGTGTTGGGCCCATGCTACAGGGCTGAAATGGGGCTTGCGACGAAGAAGCAGAAGACCAAAAAAAAGAAGAAGAAGAAGAAGCAGCAGCAGCAGCAGCAGCAGCAGCAAGGACACGCCATAATAACCCGCTTGTGCGTCTACAATTCCTAAAGACCAAACCCCCAGACCCACTAAACGCCTGCTAGCCTGAAGCTCGCAATCCTTACTTGACCTACGCCAAAACCCCAGACACCCAGAGCCAGGCACCCTCTCCCCCAAAAAACAATTAAAATCAAAGCCACAATCCTCTTGGCCATCCCAAATCCCTGAACCATTTTACCCGAAACCCAAGCAGACTCCCCTTGATTTGGAGAAAGCGCATGTTGATCGGGCCCCAAAATCCGAAAACCCGAAAACCCTAAACCCCAAACCCTAAACCCGAAACCCTAAACCCTAAACCCTAAATCCGAAACCCGAAAACCCTAAACCGCAAGCCCTGAGCCAATTCCCTCTTCCTAAACCCCTGAAGCGAGCTGCGGGCGCTGCGGGAGCAGCTGAGGCCCTTGTTTGGGAGGCCCCGGCACCGGGAGACCCCTCCCCAATACCAGATCCAGACCCTTGTTGTGCCTTTCTCGAACCAGTCTGAGCCTTTTTTTAGGTTTTCCCAGACCAGTTCGTAGCAAAAAAGTCCCCAGATCCCAAAGCATAAACCTCGGACCATTTCAAACCTTGTTGGGCCTTTCCCAGACCATTTCCGAGCCTTTTTGTGCCTTTCCTGGGCCATTTCTGAGATTTTTTTGGGCTTTTCCCAGACCGGTTAGACCAGTTCTCAGCGACATACTCCCCAAATCCCAAAGCACAAACCTCGATCCGAAGAGTAGCGCGGAAGAGGATTCGAGCAGCTATTTGGGAGGAGAGCCGACAATGAATATGTAAACACTCTCAACCCGACCACGGTCATAAATTGGGTGGGTGGGTTTGGGAGAGGACGTGAACCTTGGCGCACACGCCCTGCGTGGTGGTGCGCGGAGCATGTGCTAAACCCGAAACCCTAAACCCTAAACCCTAAACCCTAAACCCTAAACCCTAAACCCTAAACCCTAAACCCTAAACCCTAAACCCTAAACCCTAAACCCTAAACCCTAAACCCTAAACCCTAAACCCTAAACCCTAAACCCTAAACCCTAAACCCTAAACCCTAAACCCCACCCTAAACCCTAAACCCTAAGCTCTGAACCTTGAACCCTGAATCCTAAACCCTAAACCCTAAACGCTACCCCCAAAACCCCGAGCTGAGGTTCGATCGGTGCTGTGCCATGCCGCAGTTCAAGTCTGTCTTCGGTGAAGTGCTGCTTGGTGTTTAGGGTTTGGGGGTTAGGGTTTGGGGGTTAGGGTTTAGGCTTTAGGGTTTGAGGGTTAGGGTTCAGGGTTCAGGAGTTTATGGTTTGTGGTTTGCTTTGGCGCGGCGGTTTAGGGGTCAGTGGGTTCAGAGGTCCAGGGGGGTTTAGGGTCAAGGTTTAGGGGGTTTGGGGGGTTTAAGGGGTTTGGGGGGTTTAGGGTGTGGAGGGGCTTTAGCGGGTTTAGGAGGTTCAGGGGGTTTAGGGGGTTTAGGGGGTTCAGGTGGTTTAGGGGTCAAGGGGTTGAGGGTTTAGGGGTTTGGGGGTTTCGGGTTTAGGGTTCAGGGGCCCTTCTCGAGGGGGAGATGCTGAGCCCCCCCAAATTCCACACCGCTCAACCTCCCTACAGCTTAAAGCCCTAGACGTCCCTCAGCTTGAGGCCCTGAACCTAATCAGGGCGGTTTCTAGGGGCTTGGGGGAAGTTGCGGGGTTCCTAAAGCCAAGAGCCCCCGTCTTTTTTGGGTTTGGTTTTCGGAATTTAGCATTTTGGGAGTTTAGGTTTTGCGTTTCAAGGATTTTTTTTTGAGACCCGATAAGGCCTCAACCCCCCCATGGGTGCTGGAGTGACAGGATGTTGGTTCCCTGAAAGCCCTAAATTCCAAACCCCTAAACGCTAAACCCTGAACCCTGAACCTTAAACCCGAAGCCCTGAACCCTGAACCCAACCCGAAACCCTAAACCCTAAACCCTAGTAGAAAATCTCAGGGATCGGCTTGGTGGCAGGTTGTCGTGCTTGTTTCTCTGGGATGTCGGTCCTCAAACCCTAGCCCTAAACCCTAAACCCTAAACCCGAAACCCTAAACCCTAAACCCTAAACCCTCAACCCTGGTTCGCAAGGAAGAAATGCCAGAAGAGTGGATCCCCCACAAAAGTTATCCCGAGCTTCGCGCCTCCCGCGCGGGATGCCAAGGCGCGGAGAGTGTTGCACGAGTTGAGAGCTCCGGGGTGCTTAGGGTTCAGGGTTCAGGGTTGAGGGTTGAGGGTTTAGGGTTTAGGGTTTAGGGTTTAGGGTTTAGGGTACTACAATGAGAGCTTAATACTTCTTGTGGAAGGAGGGAGTTTCCTTGGGGGCCTGGGGGTTGCTGGTTCGGGTCTGGAGTTTAGTGAGGCGGGGGTTTGAACACAGAGTCTCTTGTTTGACGAAAGACTGTTTCTCACTTTAGCAGAATTTACATGCATTTGCTTTGCCTATAAGTGCTTTACTTTGATATGGTCCTGGACCTGCACCCGACACCCGAAATGAGCCCGAAACACCCTGAACCCTGTACCCGACCCTAAACCCTAAACCCTAAACCCTAAACCCTAAACCCTAAACCCTAAACCCTAAACCCTAAACCCTAAACCCTAGTTACCCTAAATTACAAATCTTAAGCCCCCAGCCCGTAGCCTTGACAGAATCGGGATCCTGAGGTAGTTTAGGGTTCGGGGCATCTTGGGTCGCTCATGCGTAGGTAGGGCTTGATTTGGAGTAATTACACAAACCTACATCACCCAGACAATTTAGACTTCGAGGCTTGGAAACTCGTTTTGGGATGGTGTGCATGGTGTACCTTAGCATGCCGGGACCCAGCATCCTTGATCCTTAAATCAGAAGAAGGATCCCAACCGTCATCTGACGAATGTTCCTTAGTACTGGGGGGTCTCTGGGTCAACCTTGCGTTGGCACACCCTGCACCCTAAAGACCCTAAAACCCTCAAACCCTAAACCTAGACAACCCTACGATCCTGCAACCCTAAACCCTAAACCCTAAACCCTAAACCCTGGACCCTAAACCCTAAACCCTAAACCCTAAACCCTAAACCCTAAACCCTAAACCCTAAACCCTAAACCCCAAACCCTAAACCCTAAACCCTAAACCCTAAACCCTAGCATCTAAAGCCCAAGGCCAAGGCAGAGCCGAAGGCCAAAGCAGAACCGAAGGCAAAAGCGGAGCCAAAGGCTGCGCCAGAGCCGCTGCTGGGCGCAAGAGTCCCCTAAGGGTTTTAGTGTTTTAGGGTTTTAGGGGTTTAGGGGTTTAGGGTTTTAGGGTTTTGGGGTTTTAGGGTTTCAGGATTTTTGGGTTTTAGGGTTTCAGGGTTTCAGGGTTTGATGAGGGTTTTAGGGTTTAGGGTAGCTCTAAAACTTGACTTCCAGAATGCTTGCTATTCGGACACGATTCCGGACCCCAAAATCCTCAATGAACCAAGTCTCTTCGGCCTAAGCTTCGCTCACAGCAGCCTAGAGGTTTGGGTTAATAGAGTTTAGAGGGTTCATAGGGTTTACATCGGGTTCATGGGGGTCATAGGGTTTGCAGGGTTTATAGGGCTCATGGGGTTCATCGGGTTTCTAGGGTCAAAAGGATGACAGGCTTTACAGGGTTTGCGGGGGCTTACGGGGTTCATATAGAGTAGAGTTTATAGGGTTTATATAGAGTTTATAGGGTTTATAGGGTTCATAAAAGAGTTTATAGGGTTCATATAGAGTTTATAGGTTTTTGGTTTAGGAGGGCTCTACTCAACAGAAGCCTCGAATTTGCCCCTGGAAGTCCTCTTGTCTGGCAGAGAGCGCACTCACGCAGAAAAGCCTGACCTAATCTTCGGGATGCTTCCCCCTTCTACGAACAGTCCTTAATGGGGATAGCAGTACCCCCTACTCTAATCCCCATGAAGGAGCTGTTATATTATAATCCCTATTAAGGGTTCTAGCTGTCCTTAATGGGGCTTGGGCTGCTTCCGAGGAGTCGTGGAGCTGCCCCCGAAACCCGAAGCCCTAACCCTAAACCCTCAGCCCCAAACCCCAAACCCCCAAAAGCCCAAACCCCAAAAGTCCCAAACCCCACGCCCCAAAGCCCCAAACCCTAAACCCAGAACTACACCCTCAAAGCCTCTAACCCTAAACCCTAAACCCTAAACCCTAAACCCTAAACCCTAAACCCTAAACCCTAAACCCTAAACCCTAAACCCTAAACCCTAAACCCCCAACCCTAAACCCTAAACCCCCCAAAACCCTAAACCCCAAACCCTAAACCCTAAACCCTTAAACCCCAAGCCCTAAACCCCAAACCCTAAACCCTAAACCCCAAGCCCTAAAGCCCCCAAGCAATCTCAGGAAGGGCAAGGCAGAGAAGGGCAAGGGGGAGCCCAAGGCGAAGGCAGAGCCCAAGGCGAAGACGGAGCCCAAAGCGAAGGCGGAACCAAAGAAGGCTCCCCGTGGGGTTTAGGGTTTAGGGTTAAGGGTTAAGGGTTTAGGGTTTGGGGTTTAGGGTTTAGGGTTTAGGATTTGAGGGTTTAGGATTTGAGGGTTTAGGGTTAAAGGTTTAGGGTTTCGGATGTAGGCGGATTCTTCGCGACCGTGTTTCCAAGCATTATTGCTGGGCCATTGTGTTTGTGTGGGACCGCAACGCGTTGCGGTGCGTGATGGAAGTGCCAGGAACTTTCACACTTGAGGGCCAGCCTTGTGGATTCTGTAGCGGTGTGCTGCTGCTGACCTCGTTTAGAAGCTGTACAAGGCACAGCAGGCACATCGCAAGTCCGAGGATCCTGCTCACAAGGCTCTCGCGGAATTTCTGGTGAGTTGACGCCCTTTGGGAATGACTTAACTGTCAATCAAGAAGCCCGAAGAAACGACCTTGACCACTTCGACACTACTAGTGGTGACTCGCAACATGCTCGGCCCCGCCTAATGCGCAGCCTCTTGACCGACACTGCCTTGCTACAAAGATGCCCGAGACAAAACCCAAATACTACCCTCAACTTTCAAACCCTACAAACCCCAAACCCTCAACGCCGCCCTCCTCACAGCCACGAAAGGAAGCCGCGCCCGCGCCCGCCGCAGGCCTTTGGGGTTAGTTTACTTCCATCCCTAAACCGCAATGAAACCCTTAACCTTCGTCCACGGTGTCTGCATCACCGAAGGGGCCGAGGGGCGAACCAGGAAGATTAGAGCTCGGAACTTATCACTTGGTTGCTCAATCGGTGCGCTCAGATCTCCTTGTTTGGGAGTTCGAGTCTTGGTTTCAGTTTAAGTCTAAGGTGTACTATGTCCCTGCAAAGACATCATGTGCGGTCGTTGCCCGACCCTCAACCCCGAATAGCTACCTGGGAGTACGGCAGGCGCCATACCAAACGGCGGTGGTGACCTTGATCAGCAAATCCTCGCCGTGGGCGGCTGGGCTGTCAGGGTTCAGGACTCCTCAAACCCTAAACCCTAAACCCTAAACCCTAAACCCTAAACCCTAAACCCTAAACCCTAAACCCTAAACCCTAAACCCTAAACCCTAAACCCTAAACCTTAAACCCTAAACCCTAGACCCTAAATTTGGGTCTTGGACTCCCCCTTTCTACCCTTTGGGGCTTGCGGACTCCTTCTTCCCGCGCCACCTGTGAGTGCCGTCACTGCGTCGACGGAACTTGAAGGCCCATGCGTACCTATCACCCCATCAGCACGGTGCCTCGAACCCCATGATACGAGCCCTCTGAGCCCTCTTATATGGATATCATTGTGTCACTGGTGCGGCAGTATGTGGATCGTATGCGTGGTTTGGCAAGCCATGACTCCCCCGGTACGAGCAGGAGCACGGAGTTCAGAGTCTGCACCCAAAGTTCTCCTGAATAACCCTAAGCCCTACGCCACAAAACTCAGAATCCGAAACCCAGGCAACCAGATCCGCGAGAAGAAAGCCGCCTTGAAAGAGCAAGGCCTTTCCGGGAAGAAGATCAACGAAGACCCCGAGGCCTTGGGGAAAAGGGCTTAGCCCCTTCTAGGTTCGCCACAGCACGGCATAGAACTTCGGGTGGCTTTTGCAAGGTTTGGGGGTTTCGCCTTGTCTTGGATAGGCATCAATGATCCCCCACGGAAGCCACCAGGCGTTTCACAAGGCACGAGGGTCACAACGCGGCTTTAGTGCCTATGGTGTGGCAGCCAAAACAGGCAGGCGCCACTCGACCTTCGACTTGGCAAAGGAAACGAGGGGAGGAACCCGTGTATAACAGAAATCTCTACTACTGAATAGGGGATCCATGCGTTGAAGATTGTATGATGCCGCTTGGGGGATAGTGTCTGTGCAGGCCTAGCCGATGTTGGGTGTAGGGTCCTTCTCCACCCGAATCCCTAAACCCGTATTGCCATTTTGCTACGTTACTCCGAAGCCTCAACCCCCAAAGCCTAAAACGCTCCTCCGCCCAGATCAAAGCGCTGGTCGAGCGCCTTACTGCTCCTCGGCCCTAGAACCCCTAAATCCCTATACCCTAAACCCTAAACCCCAAACCCTAAAGCCCCTAAAACCGCATTCTTGCGCCTTCTGCGGTGCTCTGTTCGCAGGGCGCTTCAAAGGGCTCCCGGTTTCTGCTTCAGGCTTGGGGGCTCGGGGCTTCCACTTCGGGCGTTAGGATTTTAGGGCTCCGGGTTTAGGGGTTTAGTTCAGGGTTCCCGTCTATAGGACTTAAACCCGAAACCCTCCACCCTAAACCCTAAACCCGAAACCCTAGACCCTAAAACGCCTAAACCCTAAATCCCAAACCCTAAACCCTAAACCCTAAACCCTAAACCCTAAACCCTAAACCCTATACCCTGAACCCTAAACCCTAAATCCTAAACCCTAAACCCTAAACCCTAAACCCTGAACCCTAAACCCTAAACCCTAAAGCGGATTTCCCAAGCGCCACCCAAGGCTCTGAAGGCCGGCAACAGCTAAGACCGGACCCACAGAAGCAGCCAAAAGGGTCAGCGCCAGCTTTCTTGGGATATGGGTTAGGGTTTAGGGTTTAGGGTTTAGGGTTTAGGGTTTAGGGTTTAGGGTTTAGGGTTTAGGGTTTAGGGCTTCGTGTTTAGGGCTTAGGGTTCATAGGATGGTCATAGGTGTGAAACTGGAAGGAGCGGCATCGCTCTTTTCTCCTCACAGAGCAGAAGAAACCCGTGTGCCTTGAGCCAAACAGCACGTTTGGCCATGCTAATCTTCTATGTAAGGTCGCGGCAATGGCAATACTTCTCGATTTGTGCGTGCTCGAGCTGCTGACGCTCAGCATTCACCTTCTGGTTTCACACTGGTTCAAAAACAGTCCCCCCTTTTCTGCAGGCCAGGCCAGGGCTTGACAATGTAGAAGACGTCGTCGTGGGGAACGTCGCCGAGGAAGGTGTGGCAGCGCAAGATGAGATCGTGGAGGCCCAAGATGTTGCTGAAGAGCTTTGTGCCGCTGACAAACCGGTTGCGAAGGACAGCGTTGTAGACGACGCACTTGTAGAAGCCACTCTCGAAGTGAGGTTGACGTAGAGGACGCGGTAGTCGACCATGTGGATGTAGATGATGCGGTCGTCGAGGACGTCCCCGTCAAGGATGTAGTTGCCGTAGTAGATGCTGCTCGCGCAGAATCTCGATGTGGATGTTTCATTGGAAGCAGGTGACGTCGTTGAAGATGTACTCGTGAAGGGCGTGCATGCACATCTTGAGAACGTACATATATGACATCGGCGGCATACTTTGGGAGGGTACTGGCGTGAGCAACCTCGTCGTAGACGATGTTGGCAAGCGAGATGGTCGTGTCGCAGCGGGCGAAGTTGCCACCGAGGTTGTTGTAAACGATGCGCCTGCCGAGAGGACGTAGTTGTAAAGCACGCAATTGCGCAGGAGGTAACAGCGACACACAATGGAGCCAACCCACAAGATCTCCGCCTCAGAGCACAATCTAAAGACGAAGGAGACAAAGCAGCACTCGACGGTGCCAAGCCAAAAAATCTCCAACCCAGAGCACGGTCTAAAGGCAGAGAAGTTTTCTGGAGTTCGCAAAGCTCTACGACGTAAACAAGGATGCTGACACACAGCGCCAGGACCGACATGAACCCCGGGAACGGCCCCGAGGCTCCGCTACCAATATGAAACTGGAAGGAGCGGCATCGCTCTTTTCTCCTCACAGAGCAGAAGAAACTCGTGTGCCTTGAGCCAAACAGCACGTTTGGCCATGCTAATCTTCTATGTATCGTCACGGCAATGGCAATACTTCTCGATTTGTGCGCTCGAGCTGCTGACGCTCAGCATTCACCTTCTGGTTTCACAATCGGGTTTGGGGTTTTGTGTTTAGGGTTATAGGGTTTGGGGCTTAGGTGTTTTTGGGGTTTGGCGGGTTCTAGGGTTACAGGGTGTTCGGGTCTAGTGCTTGCTGTAGGGTTAACGAGTAGGGCTTTGGGGTTGGGGATTAGGATTAAAGAGGGTGCAGGGTTGTGGCTTCTTGATGTGGGTTGTGTGAGAACTGCTTGCATCCGCAGCTGAACACCCACCAGCGCACCTTATCTCCTGCTCGCTGGTCTAATGAAGGAATAGGGGTTAGGGTTCAGGGTTTAGGGCTCAGGGTCTAGGGTTAGCGAACTAGATATCGGGTAGCCCTTATGTATATAGGCAACAAGAAACTACGTTGCAACTGGGTATGTCGTCCCCGAAGGAATGCGAAATCAAGAAGTTCCCAAAGTGTGTGACACAGGGTTTTGGGGCTAAAGGCCTATCATGATCTCAGCACTCATAGTAGTCGTGTTGGCAGTGGGCGAAGAGTAGCCTTCCCTTCTTGCCGAGCCACCAATGGACGACGGTCGCGGGTTGCACAGCTGCATCGTATCTAACCTACAGGTCCCTAAGCCCTGAACCCTCAAAACCCTAAACCCTAAATCCTCAACCCTCAGCCCTGCGGGGGAATGCTGGTGAGCTTTTGGGGTTTCGGGCTTAGGCCCCGGGCGCTTAGGGTTGCCCTAAACCCCAAAACCCTAAACGGTGCCACCCAAATGGTCTGACACCAGGCCCTCGGATACTCGACATGCTGGGGTTGAGGGTTCGGGATTTATACGGTTTAGGCTTTGACTTCTTGCACCCTGAAGCCCCAAATCCTAAACCCCCAAAAACTCCTACCCCTAAATCATAAACCCCGGAACCCCATCTAAACCCTAAACCCCTAAAACTCAAAATCCCGAACCCCTAAGCCCTGTAAGGGACTCTTGCGCTATGCAGCGACCCAAACCCTAAGCCCGACCCAAACCCAAACCCTAAACCCTAAACCCTAAACCCTAAACCCTAAACCCTAAACCCTAAACCCTAAACCCTAAACCCTAAACCCTAAACCCTAAACCCCCTAAACCCTAAACCCTAAACCCTAAACCCTAAACCCTAAACCCTAACCTTAAACCCTAAACCCTAAACCCTAAACCCTAAACCCTAAACCCTAAACCCTAAACCCTAAACCCTAAACCCTAAACCCTAAACCCTAAACCCTAAACCCTATAACCCAAACCCATAACCCTAAAGGCTTTCCTCTGGCATGGACAGCAAGGGCGCCTCCTCGGGATCCAGCGCGCCCTCGGTGGCGGCCACTGGGGCGAGTGTAGGGATTCGGGTTCAGGGTTTTAGGGTTTTAGGGTTTTAGGGTTTAGGGTTTAGGGTTTAGGGTTTTAGGGTTTAGGGTTTAGGGTATGGGGGGGGCTCTGGGCTTCGGTTTTGGAAGCTCGTGTGCTTAGGAGCTTTCGTAAATCCCAAAAAGTCCCCGAAGCCCTAAACCGTATTTTGGGGTTTGGGGTTCCGGCATGTTCGGGAACGTGTAGGGGCACGGGCTTTGGGGCCTAAGGTTGGGGTGCTTGGGGTCTCAGGGTTGGGGGTTTTGGGGGGCTTTTATACAGGAGCTTGGTGCTTGGGAGGTCTCAGGGTCTAGCTTTGGGTTTTGTTTGGGGAGTTCAGGGTGTGGAGCTGGCACAGCTTGAGACGGTGTCGTCCATCAACTCCAGGACAGCAGCTTTGCATCCGCACCGCATGCGTTCACGCTTCGCAAGCTGAGAGGGTCAGCTGCGTCCAAACACGCGTCCTGGCTCACACTTTGCACAGCTTTAAGACAACGAATAGGGTTTAGGGGGTGGTTCCAGTATAGTGATAAAGGGACCCTAAGGGAATGTTATAGTTATAAAGGGACCATACGGGAATATTATTAGTACTTATTATTAAAATATTCCTACTGCGCCAGCCTTGTGGAGAAGCGCGACCAGGGCCACCAAGAGTTCGGAAGCGGAAGCGCTCAGCTTTGCTCCCGTGATGAGCGTCGTAAACCCCATACCCTAAACCCTAAACCCTAAACCCTAAACCCTAAACCCTAAACCCTAAACCCTAAACCCTAAACCCTAAACCCGAAACCCTAAACCCTAAACCCTAAACCCTAAACCCTAAACCCCATACCCTTAGCCCCTAACCGCCAAGCGCAAACCCTTGAACCTGAAGCTTCAGCCGACCCTGAGAGCTTCGAACGCTAAGCCCAGCAATCCACGGCACAATCCACCAGGGGTTTAGGGTTTAGGGTTTGGGGTTTAGGGTTTAGGGTTTAGGGTCCCCCTTATACTAACAGCTCCTTAGTAGGGATTAGAGTATCTCCTACTAGAATCCCTAGCAAGGACTGTTATAGTAGAAGGGTACCCAAAACCCTGAAACATCCCAACCTAAAGTCCTACTTCCCCTAAGGACAAGATCAACGAGGTCGGCTTCGGTCTGTACCAGGCACGGGCGGGCAAGGGTTTAGGGTTTAGGGTTAGGGTTTAGGGTTTAGGGTTTAGGGTTTAGGGTTTAGGGTTTAGGGTTTAGGGTTCAGGGTTCAGGGTTTAGGGTTCAGGGTTCAGGGTTTAGGGTTTAGGGTTTAGGGTTTAGGGTTATGGGGGTCGGAATAGTTCTTATGGTCCCTCTGTACTTATACTTTTATATGGTTATGCTATAATAAGGGGTCGGGAAAATACTACTTTTGTTTAAGCTAATGTGTCAGCCTGTGCGTTCCTTTCATAATATAATTCATATGCTTCTACAGGCTTATAATAATATAATAAGGGGGTTTTTGCCCTGTCCTGCGGTAATATTATTATTAGGGGTTATGTTGTAATGAATGAAAGCAGTGAAAAAGAGGGGAAAAATGCATCATTAATACGCCCTTTAAATATAGTTCATTCGCTACATTTTAATATAATTCACATGCAAGTGCCATCTGTGGGTCAATTATACAGGCGAAACGAGAGCTCTTCTTCACGGATCACCAGTGAAATACACTAATGTCCCAACTTAGGATTTAATGTGTGATTCATGCGTTACGTCCTTCCTTTCATTGTTCTCTTCACTCACTAAAAGACCCCTTAATAATGTTACGGTCATAAAGGGAGAAAAGGATATAATAAATAATAAATCCTGCATTTGTCCCTTGTGGTCCCTTTGTACTTGTACCAGAATACCCCCCCAAAACCCTGTTCTATTTTTCATTCAGGCCCCTATTTTGCGGGGAGTCGGCCCTTGAAGTGGCCAACTCGCTCGGGAGAAAGAAGACAAGAGGGCCGTCCAGGCTGGTTGAGGTTTGTTTATCTATTGGGGGGGGGAGGTTCGGGTTCTTGAGGTTTTGTTTTGCCATAGGTTTTTTGGCTACAGTCACGTCCTTATCTACTGTCGTACAAGCAAACTCAAAGCCCTGCAACCCCGAGACCCTAAACCCTAAACCCTAAACCCTAAACCCCAAACCCTAAACCCTAAACCCTAACCCGCAACCCCAAGACTGCGAGGCCCACGTGTTCATTCTCTGCGCAGGCCACTGGGCCAAAACCCCGAGAAGCAGGGTTCAGATTTCAGGGTTAGGATTTAAGGTTTAGGGTTTAGGGTCTAGGGTCCAGGGGAGAGGGCTTAGGGTTTAGGGTCTAGGGTGGTGT